TACTTCTTTGCTCCGCGGCCTTAATTTGTGCAGTTTCAGCATCGGGTTCCCGCGCCTCAGCGGATCCTGATGACACACTAATCGCCAGAGCAAGCTGCATCTGGAATTCCTCCTCGAAGAAATTGAAATCAACAGCGGAGGACTCTGAGTTGTTGATATTTAAATTCTCAACAGATAAAGCATCAACGGCGCCGATTCTAGGTAATGGAGATGGGGAAGCCGATGAGTGGAACTGTGTTGTGGCTGGAGGTTCAGATGGCGTGTCGGTGGCGGACAAGCGGTTGTTGTGGTCGTTGAAACCACCACCGATGTGAAGTTTTCGCAGGAGATGCTTCATCTTTGACATGACTTAGATCGTTTCACATAGAAAAACAAGCAGCTGCACGCAAATCTGTCTGCTAAACCTGGGCAAAGATGCACTAAAAGGTGGGATCCTTAACCTGTGGTACACTTGTTCATCAAGCTAACCTGTGGCAAGGGGAATTAAATTAACCGCTCCATCTCCTCAACACCTTCATTTTATTCCAATTTCATTGTTCGTTTTCCTCCTCCATTTTTATTTTTATTTTTATTTATTTTTTTTTTTTTTTTTGTTAAGGTTGCATTTATATCGTGATAAAACCGAATTGAACTATACGTACAAAGCACTTGATTAATATTCGGCCAAATCACAAGATACTATAGCATACTTTTAAATTGGGAATATGACTTATCAAGGTAATTAATTTTTCGGTATGTTCATATTGTGTAACTATCTTTTTTTTGTACATATGTAGGTAACAAATTTTTTGGGAGTGTTCACATATGACCATTATGACCTGCTATAACAGGTTAAATCGTAAATGTGAACGCTTTCAACAAGTTTGTTACCTAGATGTGTACAAAAAAATAGTTACCCAAATATGAACAAAACGAAAAGTAAAAATTAAATTACATGAATGGTCCCTGTAGTTTGGGGGAATTTGTGGTTTTGGTCTCTAAGTTATTTTTTTAAACTTAAATGGTTCATATTGTTTATTTTTGTTGCGCGTTTGATCCCCATCTTACCTAAAAATACTATTGTGCCCTTATTAATTTATTTTTTTAATTAATTTTCTTATCTATGTTTATTTTTTTACATATTTATAAAAATTAATATACCACACATATTTGTATATCCTCGGATGATCCCTACTATTTATTTTTTAATTAATTTAATTTTTTAACTCGGAAGGTCCCTACTATTTAATTTTGTTACGAACTTGGTCTCTGTCTTACCTAAAAAGACTATTGTGCCCTTATTAATTTTTTTTAATTAATTTTCTTGTTTATGTACTTATGCTTTATATGTTTAAGAAAAATTAGTAGACCTCACATATCTGTATCTCCTCACCATCCCATCTTTCATCATTCTCAACTTCTATTTATTTTTCATCTTTAGTGATATCGACGTCTTCATCATCACTTCTTTTTTCGGTCCTTCAACTCCGTCGAAACAACACCACAACCCACTAAATATGAAGAGACAGTAGGTTATGGTGTTGGTTCTCCAGAGTTGAAGTACCAAAAAAAAGAATGGTGAAGACGTTGATGTTACTAAATATGAAAAAGAAATAAAAGATGGGGATGATCGGAGATGAGATGGTGAATGGTAAGACTCAAATTAAATTTCTCAAATGTGGTTTCAGGTTTACGGTGATAACATACATATATGTGGGGTATATTAATTTTTTTATAAAAAATAAATACATAAATAAGAAAATTAATTTAAAAAATTAATAAGGAAAAAATAGTATTTTTAGATAAGACATAGACCAAACGCGTAACAGAAATAAGCAGTAACGATCATCCAAGTTAAAAAAAATAATAATAATAATTAAAAATAAACAGTAGAGATCATCCGAGGAGATATAAATATGTGTGGTCTATTAATTTTTTTAAATATGTATAAAATAAATACATAGATAAGAAAATTAATTAAAAAAATAAATTAATAAGGGCACAATAGTATTTTTAGGTAAGACAGGGACCAAACGCGCAACAAAAATAAATAGTAGGGACCATTTAAGTTAAAAAAAATAAATTAGGGACCAAAACCACAAATTCCCCCAAACCACAGGGACCATTCATGTAATTTAATTTTTAATTTTCATTTTGTTCATATTTGGGTAACTATTTTTTTTGTACACATCTAGGTAACAAACTTGTTGAAAGAGTTCACATCTAGGATTTAACCTGCTATAGCAGGTCATAATGGTCATATGTGAACACTTTCAAAAAGTTTTTTACCTACATATGTACAAAAAAAAGATAGTTACCCAGATGTGAACATACCGAAAAGTTAATTACCTTGATAAGTCATATTCCCTTTTAATTTTTATCTTATATAATTTGAAAAATAGTAATATTCCGATAAATTCTTATCAACGAAACTAAGACACATTAAAGATGTCATCCGTGATCGGAAGTTAATAAATTGTGAAAATGAGAGGGGGCTGATTTTATCAATTAAAATTTAAATAAATGATTTGGAATTGATAGCAGAGTAGAGATAGTTATGGAGTGTTAGAGCTTGAAAATCATATAGATTGGGAAAAAAAAGTAATGGAGTTGGAACATAGGAGAAGCATGGACCTTAAACAAAACGCGAGAATTAGATGAGCAATCGATGGTGAAGAAAACTCACGTTATTTCCACGGTATCATTAAGAGTAACATATCTAATAATAGAATCAACGGTCTGTCAATAAATGGGGCTTGGTCCACTGACCCCGTAGAGATTACGAAGGAGATGTTTTCATTTTTTATAAGAGAAATTCACTAACCCTGTGACTATCAGGTCTAATGTAACGTCTGGTTCCCAGTACGTATTTTAAATATGAAATTTTGCACTTTTACCCTGAGACTCGACGAGTTGAGTCAACCAGATGTTGACTTTGTTGGATAAGGTGTCTAACTCCATAACTTATTTGGTATATACTTGATCCGACCCGACATGGTCCATTTGGGTTGCACTTCACCCAAACAATTTATATGGATAATCTTATGAGAATAGTATGTTTATGATTTATTAATATATTATAGGTTATAATATATTAAGATGAAGTCATGTTATTTAATTAGTTTTAGTCTTAAATTAATTATGAATTAATTTAGTGATTAAAAGGAAGACTAATTATACATGGGCTATTGCATTTTATATAATGTAGGCTTAAACTCATTAGGAATGGGCTAAGCATGCATGGGGGTCCATGGAGCTTTTAACCCACGGATCCTTGGAAAGGAAAAGACATGGGTTATTAGGATTTACCCTAATCCTCCACACTATATAAAGATGCACATATTGCAAGAATGGCAACTAGTTGTGTGAGACTTTGTGGTGGCCGATTTCTACATATCATATTATTCTCTTAAGGGTTTTCCAAGTTTGTGGTGGTTTGTGATTCCACTTGAGGCATTCACATTATTGGTGCTAGGCTCTCAAACTCCAAGCAATCAATCACTATCAAAAGGTATGTCATTCTTCTAGTATTTTATGATTCTAGTTCTTCATGTTATGCTAGTTAGGATGTAAACCTTGTGATACGTGTATGGGCTTAATTTGATGAGTAAGGTAGTGTTTAGGTAAATTAAGAGAGAATAACAACCACAAATGATATGTGAATGGAAAGAAATGGATAGATTAGTAACAACTCAAGACCTATTAAGTTGTATACCGGTGAAAACAATCCAAGACCTATGGGATTGAGTTCGTATCAAGTCAAGAACACGTCCTAACAAGATAATTTGTGAATTATAACAATAATTCCAATTGAACAAAGGTTTTTTCTTAAAAATTCGTCTATTATCTTTCCCATGCATAAACTTGGCTTTATATGAAGCCTTTATTACAAACTTGGTGGTTACAAGCCAACCAACCAATTATTCATTAAAACTAGTAAATGAAATTTAAGGAAACTCTTGAAGTAACACAAAAAAATGTCCAAGAAACTTGAGAATGAAAAAAAACAAGGACAACAATTTTTGAATAGGAACTGAAATCAAACAAACTTAGTAAGGATTTTTTAAAACAAGAACTCAACAACACCCAATCGGAACTGGGCTCTAATACCACTTATGATACGTATGGGAGGTTTTGTTTTGGAGTGTTTCTGATTGCAGCGAATGATAACAAATAGAGAAGAAACAATGCAAATGGGGCTGCTTTTGGTTATATTTGGAACGGTTTGCAAGGGAATAACACGAAAAAGTAACAAAGAATAGTATGATGATCAAGTTAGACCTATAACTTGAAAATCGGTGAAAACAATCCAAGACCTATGGGATTGAGTTCGTATCAAGTCAAGAACACGTCCTAACAAGATAATTTGTGAATTATAACAATAATTCCAATTGAACAAAGGTTTTTTCTTAAAATTTTGTCTATTATCTTTCCCATGCATAAACTTGGCTTTATATGAAGCCTTTATTACAAACTTGGTGGTTACAAGCCAACCAACCAATTATTCATTAAAACTAGTAAATGAAATTTAAGGAAACTCTTGAAGTAACACAAAAAAATGTCCAAGACACTTGAGAATGAAAAAAAAACGTCTATGCTTCATTAAGGAGCCATAAGAAGCATTAATGAGCCATCAGAAGCATTAAAGTGTAACCCTAATCCACCAAAGAGTGATAAAAACGGCTAGGAGGCTTTATGAAGTAAAAAAGTAACGTTTTTAGCACTTATGAAGCCTTAAAAATGTTGCCCTAGCCTTCATGCAACCCTAATTCAATTTGTGGGCTACCATGCACAACCCAACCATTGAGCCCAAGCCACCTTCTAGCCCACTAGTAATCACTAATCCATCACCTTTTAGGCTTTCATAATCCATGCATGGATCATCCCCTCCCCCTTTGGAAGGAATTGACCTCAATTCATCAAGTCCATCATCATCAAGATAAGGTGAAAGATCTCCCACATTAAAGGTAGCATGCATTCCATGGTCTCCACCCAAATCCACATTGTAACCATTATCATTTTCAAAATTTGTCACTTCCACACATATAAAATATTAGATCATCGTTTGTACTTGTGGGTTGATGAACAACATGTTCCAATAACATGGCTTCCCAACTAAAGGTACACCACAAGAATAAGAATCCAAGCATTATGAACTCCCTCCCTCGTAATTGCTTGGAACTTGGAACTTGATGGGTCACTCCTTCTTCTAGGTTCTTAGGAAGACGGTTTGTTATAAGACGAGTATCATCATCCTTCTTAACCACAACCACATCTTCGTGGTCAAGAACTTGCTCCACCTCTTTGGATTCTTCAACCTTTTCTTCAACAATTTTGTTTGTAACAACAAAATCGTTTTCTTTCAAAAGTTGTTCATCAATTTCGTTTCCAAGCACAAAATTTATTTCTTCTTCAATTTCTTCATGATCCTCCTCCCCATAAATATCGTAGATAGGGCTAGAGTCTTCAATAATTTCATCTCCAACCATGAAAGTGATTTTTTCAATAAATTCCTCTTCAAACAAGAAATTTATTCTGTCACAAAATTCCCCTTCTCCATCGGTGCCATAAATGGGACAAGAATCTTCTTCATCCTCTTCTTCAATTTCCTCTTCCTCCTTAATGTCTTCTTCATCATATAACTTGCGCAACATTTTTGGACAACAATTTTTGAATAGGAACTAAAATCAAACAAACTTAGTAAGGATTTTTTAAAACAAGAACTCAACAACACCCAATCGGAACTGGGCTCTGATACCACTTATGATACGTGTATGGGCTTAATTTGATGAGTAAGGTAGTGTTTAGGTAAATTAAGAGAGAATAACTGTGACATCCCCAAAATCACGGCCAGAAAAGACCGGTTTTGTTTATACTTTATTTCAAAATCAGAGTTATCTTTTAATAAAAGGGTTGCGGAATTTGTCCCAAAACAATAATATGATAAAGATTTATCAAAAGCATTTCCATAGAAATGTATTTCATTAAAAGACTCGGGATGTCATGTTCGTACAGATCAAAAGTATAAACAGTACAATATAAGCCTTACTACATTATTTCATATCTACAGGCCTATATCCGTAATCCCTCGTCCAAAACATCACATGTATGCTCATGCGCCACTACCTGTAATGCATAAAACTGAGTGGGTCAGGCTTGGGAGCCTGGTGAGCACATAGGGTTTTCAACCCACAATAAATAAGTTTATTAATTTCATCAATCAACAATAACCCGATTACCCGTTCCCGTTATCCTCACTTTACGTCCCTAAACACCTATCATAAGGGACCTATCCTAAGGATCATCATCGGGACGAACACTACTGCTAAGGGGATTCCTCAGCAATAAATGTCCTAATAGGCAACCATGTGGGGGATGGAGTACACCGGTGAACACATCGTTCACAACACCTACAGGTTGCAAGCCTGCTAGTGTTCCACTGGACTGTCTAGAAGAGTCTGTGGTTGTCATCTATACTCCGCTAGATGACTGGATCAACAACAACAACATCGAGGCCTCTCATCATTTTATCACACATCACCTATTACATCTACCCATGTTTTACCCCAACATTTTCGTAGATATAAAATACATATACAGTTTAAATCATTGAAAACATGTATAACAACGTTCATCTAACGTAGATAGCAAGTATTCAGATAATATGCACACATAGCACGTAATTTATATAAAATACTTCATATCTATGTGTAAGCTGAAAGTAACTATGCACTCACCGGAAAAGGTGGTGATTCCGAACTCAGACAGCGCTTCGCTTCTTAAAAAGAATTTTTCTTCGACGAAACCTAGTATTATTACCACTAGAGTTTAGTTTATTATTCGTCGAGACTAATTAATAGTCTAGCTATTATTATTATTATTATATAAGCGTCAAAAAAATACTTATATAACCCATAATAATAGCCCAAGTATTTATTATAAGTTCCTAATAACGTTACTATAATTAAATAAAAGTTATATTAAAAATAGCGTAGACGTAGCTCACTTACAGCGGGTTTTATAGAAAACCGGGCTTTGCTTGGAGCAGCGTTCCCGAGCCGAAAATCTCTTCTTCTCAGAGCCTTCGAGCACTCCGGGGCTTCCGCCTCGTGCTAGGGAGGTTCCCTAGGCTTTTCGGGGGATTTCGGGGTTAGAGAGAGGTTCTAGAGAGAGAGAGAGAGAGTAAAGAGAAGAAAGAATGGGAAAGGTGTGAAGAAAATGAGGGTGGGAGAGGTGGTATTTATAGGGTGAAATGTGGCTGAACTTGGTGCCACATGTCACCATCTGGTGGCAAGCCTTGGGGAGAAAGCAATGGCCAAGATTGTGCCACATCACCCATTTTCGCACAGCACACTTCCGACTTCTAAAACCCGTAACTTTCACATACGACCTCTGTTTTTGACGTTCTTTATATCCACGCGTAGGTAATAATAAGATCTACAACTTTCATTTTGACACCGTCAGCTAATTCTCGACCGATCTTAAATTTAACAGTACAATGAGATTATACTGTTAAACGTCTGCGTAAAATTAATAACTTCTACATACGGACTCTGTTTTTGTCTGTCTTTTTACCGTTGATTTCCTATTAATGAGATCTTCAACTCTCATTTACGTTGCGTAAGCCAAAAACCGCTCGAACTAAAATTCGAGTTTCAGGCCGTGCACTGCTAAGCCGAATCTTAGAAAAATCATAACTTCTTCATACGAAGTCAGATTTGGGCGTTCTTTTTATCGATGTTCTTAGTTTAACATATTCTACGACTTTTGTTTAGATTTCTAAGGCTAAAAAGTCTTCTATCGTAAATTCACTATTTACGTCTCCCGGTGTCGTGCCGGTTTTGCCGTAAAACTTCGGCGGGCCATAACTTCTTCGTTATAGCTCGGATTTCGGCATTCTTTATATGTACGGAAACCTTGAGACATATTCTACAACTTTGTGTAGTGATATCGGGATTATCTCACACTTTAATTATGACGCTCATTTTTATTCTTTATTAATTATACATTTATAATTAAATAATAAACACATAAACACACATAATTCACATAATACTCAAATATTTCATATTTATTACTTCAAAAAGAGTTACAATAGTTGACCTAGACTATTACATTGACAAAAATGCTTAGCCCTGAAAACCCGGGCGTTACAATAACAACCACAAATGATATGTGAATGGAAAGAAATGGATAGATTAGTAACAACTCAAGACCTATTAAGTTGTATACCGGTGAAAACAATCCAAGACCTATGGGATTGAGTTCGTATCAAGTCAAGAACACGTCCTAACAAGATAATTTGTGAATTATAACAATAATTCCAATTAAACAAAGGTTTTTTCTTAAAATTTTGTCTATTATCTTTCCCATGCATAAACTTGGCTTTATATGAAGCCTTTATTACAAACTTGGTGGTTACAAGCCAACCAACCAATTATTCATTAAAACTAGTAAATGAAATTTAAGGAAACTCTTGAAGTAACACAAAAAAATGTCCAAGACACTTGAGAATGAAAAAAAACATCTATGCTTCATTAAGGAGCCATAAGAAGCATTAATGAGCCATCAGAAGCATTAAAGTGTAACCCTAATCCACCAAAGAGTGATAAAAACGGCTAGGAGGCTTTATGAAGTAAAAAAGTAACGTTTTTAGCACTTATGAAGCCTTAAAAATGTTGCCCTAGCCTTCATGCAACCCTAATTCAATTTGTGGGCTACCATGCACAACCCAACCATTGAGCCCAAGCCACCTTCTAGCCCACTAGTAATCACTAATCCATCACCTTTTGGGCTTTCATAATCCATGCATGGATCATACCCTCCCCCTTTGGAAGGAATTGACCTCAATTCATCAAGTCCATCATCATCAAGATAAGGTGAAAGATCTCCCACATTAAAGGTAGCATGCATTCCATGGTCTCCACCCAAATCCACATTGTAACCATTATCATTTTCAAAATTTGTCACTTCCACACATGTATCACCTTGGAAACTATTATTTGCATGTATTTTAGAGAAAACATAGATCCAAGGTTTATTAAGGTTGCATGTACACTTAGGAGTGTTAGAATGCTCAAAACCCAACAGTGGTATTAGAGCCTAGGCTTATTTTCTTGAATACTTGATGCAAATTGCTAAAAAAGTCAAAAAAAACTGCATTCTACACAGCTGACTCGCCGAGTTCTTCATGGTACTCGCTGAGTCCATGTGTATATTCAACTAACTTGCTGAGTCAGTTTATGCACTCAATGATTGGCAGGCCTGAGTGCAAATTTTCGAGTTTTGGTGCTGGAATTGGTCTAGAATCATTACCTTAAACTGTTTTGAACTTATAAAACCTGTTTTTGATGTGGTAATGATGATGATGGACCAATTTCAAAGTTATAATCAAAGTTTCAAGTTTATATATGCTTATATGATTCTTGAAAGTTGATTATGATTGTTCATGAACTTATGAGTTTTGATAGATCATAGGAATTATGTGCAAATTGTTTGATAGTATAATTCTTGATCTTTATGACATTGAATGAACTCCATAATTTGTCCTCAAGTTATGGAATTCCAAAAGTTTTTTCTTTTAAATGTTTTTTAAGAAGTCATAAGTTACATTTTCTTGAAGAGTTTTCTAATAAATGCTTTTATGGACTCCATAACTTGTCCTCAAGTTATGGATTTCCAAGAGACTCTTCATTAAAAGTTTTAAACACTTAATTAAAACTCATGAGTTATGAATATCCAAAAGTTTTTGAATTGTTCAAAACTTGCCCTCAAGTTTTGGAATTTGTAAAGTCTCACACAAACTTTAATTCCATGCCCTAGAAGTTTTAAAAGTTAAAATTCTACCCTTATACTATTATAAGATTAATGGTTAATAATTATATATATGTACAAGAACAAGTCGTTTTACCGTTAGTAGGCCTCATTTACGAAGCCGGTCTATAAGGGGGGTATAAGGTTGTTGCCTATAAAATGGCAACTTAATGGGTGTCCACTCTCACCCACCGTTTCCTTGATCGGTGGAGGGTCGTTAGCCGAACGGGTAGGACAATGACTTTAAAGTCTCATTAAAAGTATAATAATTATTATAAAGTAACTAAATATTTTTAATTCCCAATCTTAGTTACTTTAGGAAAAATGTGAAATTGGTGCTAGCCCATGGAATTCACACTTTGTACCTTACCAAGTCGTTGGTGGAGTGCGTGTGCTTAACCGGCACACTAACTTGGACTAGTAAGGATCACAAAGGCTGACTTAATGTTTATCATAGATCGGTGGAGCGCGTGTGGTTAGCTGGCACATTGATTTAGTGATAATATTAAGGGTACCAAGTGAATTAGTATGGTTATTCACACCTTGTTTTGTGATCCTCGGCATCCCAGTCACAAAATTTGAGATGGCACACTCGAAATTGAAACATGCCATTGAAAAGTTCAATGAATCTCAAAAGATCTAGGCGTTTCAAATCCAATTAAAACCTAATAAATTATTTCGTTTTTCATGGTGGAAATTGGTGAATCATCATTCGCCTACCTTCAAATATTCTATAGCTTGGATTACGACATTCCTCTTCCAAGTTATAAAATATTGTGTTGGGTCCTAGCCTTAATATTTCATATTGGGTGTTATATTAAGGATTTTGTATCAACTAACA